GACACTGTTTCTCTGGAATGGCGGGGGGTATGTCGGCCGCATTTTCAACCGTCAAGGTCGTTTTAGTGCCAGCTACGGACACCGTATTAACTGTCCTCTGAGTGTAAGAAGTTTGCTTACTGCTCTCAGTCTTTATCTCAGCCGTGGATAATATCGTGGCAGATTTGGCTTGGAACGCCGACGAAGAGTTCCAATGGCTGCTCACGCTGCTTTGCTGCGAGCTCCTTTTCGAATATCTCGAACTACGGTGCGAGTCCACCGACACAAAGCCTGAATCCGTGTTCGACAATCGATTTGCGAAGAAATTGTTCACGTGGAGTTCGTTGGATTGGTTAAAAAAAGAGGAGTTTTGCTTCAAAAACGAATCGTCCAATCCTTGGAATACAAAATTATAAATGAAGGAGAAAAAAACATCAATTAAAATTATGTTTATCTAAAAATTATTGACTTCCTTAAAATTTCAATGAGAAAACATGTTTCAATAATACGAGAAAATTTCTTTACTATTATTCTTTCTCAAAAATGATTTCTCATTCAGTCTTGGGCTAAGGTTTAAATGCTTTTAAAAAATATTGTACTAAAAACCTTGTTACAAACAAAAAGATATTGTACAATTAATAATAGTTAATGAAAGACACTAATATTTTAATCAATAAAAAATTACGTTATGCATTACTCCCATTGTTACAAATAGTAATGAAAAACTTGACACTTTCCCTTTGTCTGCTTATGAAATTCGTGATCTTACCAGTAATGTTGGATAAATCGCTGTCCATCATGGTCGTGTCACTATCCGTATTGTCCATGATGGCTTTAATTTCTCTTTCTTCTTTGGAACGATTTGAATCCAAGCTGCCGATACTTGCGGATAACGGTGAGCTCGAGTCTTCCGGCGACTTCGACCTCAACGACATTCTAAACAGAAAAACAAGTCCCCAATGGGGATGCCCCATAAGGAAAAATCACACTATTTTCATCACAATTATAGCCATTTACCTTTCTAGACTAGAATTAAATAAGGAATTATTACTACTAAAGCATTCGTCAACTGGCTGGTAACTTCTGTTCACTTTTTTCTTTGGCGGAAGCGGAGGGGGCGTGTCAGCATCGTCGACTTCCGTCCGACTTATGCTAAAAAATATTCTGAAAAAAAAAACTTTTTTGATGAACAAACCACTTTTACAAAAATAAAAAAGCCATACCCATCTGGAATGGGCGGTTTAGGTGGTGGACTCGAATCCCGTAGGACAGATTCGGAACTGTGACTGCCTCGTACCTTTCCGCTTACACAGGAAGTCTGCTCGAGAATTTGCCTGTCTCGAGGAGTTAAAGGAATGTCCGGTAGGGAATTTCGTTGTGCTGGCATATCGAGGCTGGCGTTCCCGTGGGATTTATATGATATGCTCTGTTGTAATGCCATTTTTTCTTGCACCAGCGCTATCAAATTCTTAAAATGATAAAAAAAACGATCACATTTGGTAACAGTGTTAAAAATTCATTTGCGAAAACGAAATTTGAAAAGTGTGCAAAATTAAACAAACATTTATTAAGACATTGACTGTTAGTTTTCAATTTGTTCAAGTATACATGCATGTAAGATAAATTTGGAAACCACCAGAACATTCTGTTTCTGTTAAGTGGTTAAACAAGCTCAATCTTAAAGAACGATAACGACTACCTATAAATCGAAACACTACGAATAATCTTACCTTGACCGAATTTTCGACTTGTGCTAGGACATCGCAGACATTTTTCTCATCCAAGGCCGCACTCTGGTCTCCATCGATGAGGACGTCATCGCAAAGTTTTATGAGTTGCGCTACGCTCTGGTACATCTTACGCGTAGCTGAAAGAACGGTGGAACTGCTTTCAGAAGTGCACGATTTCACGCCCAAATTTATGGCCCAAACAGTGTCCAATACGATGGTACCGTTTCCCGGTAACATCTCCAACGTATTTTTTGACACTACATCGCGGAAATGGGTTAGAGCAAATTGGATCTGAAACAAACAACGTTGACGTGATTGAGAATACTGAAACTTTGTCGAGGCAAGAATAATAATTCTAATTCTTTTCATATACCACGTAGAATATCGTTTGAAAGATCTAGAAATAAAGAATTCGAAACTGTTTTTTTTGAGAAATTTCAACTGTCATATTTCTACAAATATCATCCACCCCCTAAACATATTTATCTACTTTGTTATTGAAACTACAATAACTTTACTTAAGCATACTTAGTAAAATACATAAAATTAATCTAATAACTTTATTTATAAATACATAGGGGTAGTACCTGTTTTTCCAACTGGTCCAATTCGTGTATGGGGCCCTTTTTGATTGACATAGTATCGATGACATTGGGTTTGGAGGTGCGACTCTTGGGACTGCTGCATCGCAGGCCTTGATTCGTTGGACTGCGCATTTGGGATAGTTTTTCCAAAAAGTCGTCCTTAAAAGATCGAGCCCTGCGAGCAAGTTTTGTGCTTCGGAACGAAGGCTTGTGTCCACCGGGGCCTGGTCCTGCCAAAGGAGAAACCACTGGACTTTCGCTGTCTAAAAATAAGAAACCAAAATAATTATTTAGCCACCGTTCATAAAATATGCATTCATAAATAAGGGGGAAGCTGGGGGTAATCTAAGAAAACGTGAATTTTATTTTATTTTATTTTTTTTTGACTTGGCAGTTCTTAAAATTTTTTATTACGATAAAAAGCCATTCTCATTGCCATTTTTAATTATAAGTAATCGTTTATATGGGGGGTGCTAGTTTTTGTGACATATGGGGGGATGCTAGTTTTTGTGACGTTGAGGGTCGTGGTGTGTGACGAAGGGGAAGGGAGGGGTCCAAAAAGGTGAAATTCCCAAATGACTAGTTATTATGTATTTTTAAGAATAAACTGAACTTGTTGATAAAAATGTTACAATTCCAATCCAAAAATATTTGTTCAGCCTATAGGTACTGCAATAGACAGAAAAATAGATTCTTTCTACCTTTTCCATTATTTAACGCTTATAAATACCATTAAGTTTTTATGCATATTCATTTAGAATGGTTATATTTAACTTAAAGATAATCAACACTTTTAATAACTTCCGCTGGAAAACATGCATTTAACGATTTTTCCGTATTGTTAAGTCAGTTTGACTCATTTTCGATCCACGTAGTCATTGTGGTAATTTATTATTCTTTTGTTTCGTAATAATCGAAAATACCTGTTTAATTAACCACCTCTGTATAACCATTATCAACTCATTAACTCCGGTTTTTAAATTATTTTTAGATGCACTCAATTCAATAGTTTACAACAGAAAATAGAATCCAATTATATGTAGATAAGGAGATGTGTTTATAAAATGTATATTTACTCTTTATGTAGGAGCAATCTGTATGAATATTGTCTTTTTATTATCGCAAATGAGAAGATACTTTTAGGCAAAGTATATACTATTTTACACGATCACGTTCATTTTTAATCGCCGACACCAAAGAGGGATGTTATAAGTTTAACGTGTGTATCTGTCTGTGGCATCATACCCTCTACACGAATGAACCGATTTTGATTTAATTTTTTTTGTTTGCAGGGTGAGCTGATTGTGAGTGTTTTTAGCTATGATTCATGTTAGGGGTTTTAAAAATTTTACTACAAGTTATTCGCTAATGGCATTAAAAAACTTCCAAAAATGTATTACTAAAAAGGGAGCATACGTAGAAAAAAAATAGTTGCGCTCAACAATTATTCTACAATTTCAACAAAGATTGTTAAAGGTGTATGTTTGGAGCGTGGCATTATATGGGTGCGAAACATAGTGGGCGTGGCGGAAAAGAAAAAGTTAGGTTAGCGTTTGAAATGTGGTGATACAGGCGAATGGTAAGGGTACCGTGGATAGAGAAGGTTAGAAATGAAGAGGTATTAGAAAGAATAGGAAAACAGAGGACAGTATGGAAGTAAATAAGAAATAGGCGAGATGGGTTGGTAGGGGTAGGACACCTTCTCAGACATGAAGGGCTAGACGTGTTAGAGGAGGAAACAGGAGTTGAGCTACATTAAATTACTGTTCGCAAACAGTTAAGGATGTGGAATGTTCTAGTTTTAGGGAAATGCGAACTCCACGTGAAAAATTACAACCTTATAATGATGATCGAAAATTATTTTTTTGCTACGTCAAAAAATTTGATTAAAAACAAAACCGATGTGAGTTTGATCCACCTAATAACATAACTATTATTATAAGAAGTTCGTTTTTGCGAAATATACGTACTGACAGAAATTTATATGGTACTATTTCGAGCAGACAAAGTTATTATAAGGAAGGATGATAAAATTAATCTGTCTGTCTCTGTGTGTTTGGTCTATAATGACCCATCCTATGTTAATAAGTGTACATGTCCATATCGTACTAATAACAGAACTAATTATTACTTGATGGATAATTAAAGATTATTTCTTTCTTCTTTCATAAAATCAAAATGAAACCCGACAATATCTCGGAAATTTATAATAATAAAAATTCTGTAGCCGAACGACGCCGCGGCGTCAGGTCTGTGACGCAATTTGTGAAGCGACAGATGGGTGCCACAAAGTCAGTGCCACAAGTGCATATAGTACAATAACACTGTTGTGTTGTATGTACATAAAAGTATTGTGTGTTATTATATGTATTATTGTATTGTATTCTATTGTACTTTATAAGCCCATTTACATACATATATGTATATTTCCTGGTCATTGATTCAGAAATCGAATGCAATGAAATAAAACAAAACGATAACAATCGTTAAAACAAGGATGTACTTCCTCACAAAATGTATTTATATATTATTACTATATATACGTACCGATTTCAACACCTATTGGATCCTTTCAATTCTGCATTCTTCAGGGTTGAATAAAGCTTATTTTTCACTTTGTTTTATTAAATTCTGGATAATTTTAGTATATATGTAATATACCTATACTTCATTTACTTTCTCTAGCAGGAGCCATCTAGCCAATCTGTTGGATGTTCGCTGGCAAAGTTGTAAGTAGGTAGAAAAAAGCTCATTACACTCTCGACTCTGGTTCAATAAACATACTTTTTCATACAGTACCTGCCAAAAGTTTTGTTCAATCATGAATAGTAGTGCGAGTCGAAGACAAGCGTTAAAGCCTTTAATATGTCTTCAAGTATAAATAAATATTTCGTTGATATTTTCAGTAGTAATTGGTACCAATAACAGCACATTTGAGCAATGCAATTGTTGTGGATAAAATGGTCAATTTTTCCGTGCAGTACTGTACGGATTATACGCTCCTCACCGGTTAAGAGTTCAGCCGAGAGTTGTTTCCTTCCTTTTTTGGCCTAGTGCTGTTCTTTTCTACTTTGCGCCAATCAAACTAAAGGTCATATCGCTAGAGAAACTAAACGAAGTATACTCATAATTCGGAGGGATTCAGTTTAACGTAGTGAGGAGAAACAATTATTTTTTTTATTTTTTTTTGTCAAGGAAGGTAGATGATAATTTTTCTTAGAAAAGATAAGAAGTAACGTAATCTACATCAAGTTCATTTACACATTACCTATACAAAATAAATGACATAAATAAAAACTTGCCTTTAAGGAAACTTACCCTTTTAAGGTCAGTTTTCAAAATTAATATCGCGCTCATGTCGCGTTCCTACTGCCTTTGTGTCGTGTCGTTTTGCATTTCATTTTTACTTATACGATCGTGTTCATACCAAGTTCGTACCATAAGCAAAAATCTGAAGGTGTCAGTAAGTGAAATGGATGAAAACAAGGAGGATGTTGTGATCGTTTACTCCACACGTACATTCTTTTAAAGAACAAGAAGAAGAGGATCCGGAATATGAAACGGATTTCGGCATTACACAGATGTTGTCTTTTACAAAGTAATTGTCATAATCTTTATGAGATAAATCGTAGATTGCAGGATGGTCTTGCACATAGTTCTTTGTTCATGTTGGTGCATTCATCACTCACCTATGTCACTCACTCACTCACTCACTCACTCACTCACTCACTCCCCATGTATACTCGCGATGCATTTCGTTTTTCAGCTACTATCATCAGCTAGTTTTTATAGTCGAACTTGGTGTGGGTGCTCATCGTTTTCACGAAGAATTTGAACCTTTTTGCGTAAAAATTTCTTGGTAATACATGTAGATACTTACTACAGCGCGCCTTTTACAATTAGTCAAACACGCGTGAGCCGTATGGCCGGTCGTCTCGCACTCTTTTTTAACGAACGTAGAATGTCAAGACCATACCGAGACCTACTAGGTACTTCCTTCAAATTACTGTTAAGTTTATACATAGATTATTTTGTTTAATTCACTACAAAACAGTCAAATGTCAAGATAAATATAAAAAATCGAGAATGAAAATTTTATTCACTATGCGAATTCTAGCACTACTGATATGATTTTATTTCAATTGCAGATCGTATAGATAACATTGTTCTACAGATACGAAAAGGTGATATCCAAACAGAATATTTTTTTGTAGGTATTATAGGAGGAGGTTATACAATGCACTATGAACAGCGCACAAAATAATAGCCTGGCAAGGTTACCAATTACTCATAAATACTTCCGTTAACCTGAAGGAAATTTCTGAGTATAGGTAATTAAAAAGTGATTTATAAAGCTAAATAAGTTGTAGCGTCTACCCCCTGTTCCTAGAGAGCTGTTTGCATCATTCGAAATCAAATTAGGAACATTAAAAATGCTACATTAATTTATTCGCCATAAGCAATAATAATAATAATAATAAATTGTGTTTTAAAACCGTGGAATGTGCGTGTAGTACAAAGATTGGTATTCAGATAATAACTTAATGACAGTAGGTGACCTCGGACAATTTAAATAGACACTCATTGAGATAATTCGGTACAGTGAATATCATTGTTTGTAGCACGTTCCTTATAACAGGTGGGTTGATAAACGCGACAATACGAACAAATTCCACCCACCTTGCGAACAACAACATCCATCCTATACAAAATTTTCAACAATGAAATACAGAAATTAAATAGGTCAAGATAGTGCATGGAAATAATTAATAGGAAATATTCAAATTAGAATGTTGAGCAAAAGTAATAAACTTTTAAACTTTATTATTTGATAGGCTTATGTAGCTATGTAATATGAAGATTTAATGTATGTTCTAGAATGGTTCTAGTTTTTGGGGAAGTTCAGAACACGAAGGCGTAAAGGTGTGTCCAACCAACCTGACGCATTACGCGTCGAATTTCATCACGTCTGCCGCTAATTAGCGATAAAGTTGTAAATGTAGGTACATATTGTTATATGTACAATTTCTTATTACGCAAATACATACCTAAATAAAAGTAGAACAAAAATACAGATATGGAAGAGAAGAAAAAGTAGGGAAAGAGCGAATATAAAGATATGAGACGAAAAGTTGGAAAGAAGTGGTCGATTTTAGGTATCTAGGAAGTCAGATAAGTCAGGACGGAAGGAGTAGTAGGGATATAAAGCAGAAGATTGCGCAGGGTCGAGTCGCCTTCAATAAAAAGAAGTCACATCTACCTC